TTTGTTCCTTGTTTTTTTCTTTTTCCTTCAAGTCGTGGATGGTCTTGTCAGCGCCTCTTCGTTTGCACCCTGCTGTCACCTGAGATGGGGCACAAGGGTGAAATTCTGTGTTTCCAGAACTGAAATACAGGCCAGTCTTGATAGAGAGCTCACAGCTTGGCTTCCTGAGCTTTGATGGCGCTACCTTGGGGGGAGCCTGCAGACAGAGCCACAGTCGGGTGCAGGACTGGCCCCTCCTGGAGCTGGCCGAGGTATCCTCGGAAAGTGGGTGTGCTCTGTGTGAGCCAGCCCCCACGGGTGGCATTCTCACCCCCAAGGTGGCCTTTGTCTCTTGTATAGAGGACAGCATGGCTTTCCAGCCCCTCTGTCTCCTTTGAGCCTCCACCAACCCCAAGTCACAGCGAGCAGTGGGTATTGTCACTTCTGCTGTGACAAATCCAGCTGTGTTTCACACTGTGGTTTTATGGACCCGTCTTCGTAGGGCTGCATCCAGGAGCTCAGATGAGGCTGTCGAGACTCAGTCTCTTCCCATCTCCTGGCTCCATTTTCCTGTGTCAGTTCTGTTCTCCGGAGGCTCCCTTTTCAGGGTGGCAGCGTTGGCCTCCTGCAGCCTCCGGCCTGCGTCTGACCAGCCTGGCCACCGAGGGAGAAGAGGGCATGCCTTTCCCGACTGTCTCATCGCAAGTTCCAGACCCAGGGCTCGTGGGGTTGGCCCGGGTCCCGTGCTCTCCTTGAGCCGGCAGCGGTGGCTGGGAGATGGGAGGCTGGCGGATGCGCCCTGGGAGCTGGCCTGGAGCGGCCCCTCTTGGACCCCAGGACAGGAGAGAGGATGGGGAAGACGGGCTCCGTCTCCTCCCTGCCTCCCTCCTTCTCACCCCTCTCTTCCTCCTCTTTTGGGCCCTGTGTTCTTCTCCAGGTCTTTTTCTGGGCCTTGAGCAAGGCTGAGCCAGACCCGGGGAGCTGGCTATAGCCATGTTACCTCATTGCCCCGTTTGGCCTGGAGTTTGAGACCCTGAGGCCAGGGCTGCAGAGAGCCGGCACCAGTGGGCACTCTTTTGGTAGACGTGATGGGAGATGGGAGGGAGCGGGTGATGAACCCCCCCGGAAGCAGCGGCTCCACTGCCCTGACATCCTCTCTTCTAGGAAGCCCTCACCTCAGGCCCCGCCTGTGAAACCACGCGGGGCTCGCGGGCGGATGTTGTGGAAAGCCCACCCCGCCTGGCTCAGGAGGGGCTTCCACTGCTGATTGGCTGGGTGACCCCGGCACGTGCCCTCCCTTCTCTGCCTTCAGTTTTTCTAAGGGATCCCCAGGGTCTGCCCCTGCTCAGACATTTTGTGTTTTCTCTAAGAACCTGCCTTTGGGGGCGTTCATTTCTGCTGGCACGGTGTCTGGAGAGGCTCATAGATGTGGTTAAGCATCCACCAGGTTCCGCTCTCTGCTCTGTGGCCTCGGGCAAGAGGCCTCGCCTTTCTGTGCCTCAGTTTCCTCGCCTGTAGAGTGAAGATAAAAACAGTACCTGCCTCACTGGGATGATCTGAGGATGGAATGACTTAATAAATTTAAGTTTAGAAGAGCGCATGGCACACTTAGTCGGAATTCAAATGCTGGCTATTATGATGACTGTGACTACAACTTTTACAGTTATTATTACTACATGCAAATAACAATACATACAGGAGCTATTGTTGGTGTGGGAGTGGTGGTGATGATAAATGTGTCCTTACTGATTACCAGCACTTTTACTTCATCCTTCCATTTGCTCCTTGCAACAACCTTAGGGGCTGATGGTGATCCCATTTCATGAATGTGCACACTTGATCTCAGAGAGGGGAGGTCACCTGTGCAAGGTCACACAGCTGAGAGGTGGTGGAGGTGTGGCTCAAACCACATTTTTCTCTCTCTGAAGCCCACTTCCTTGACCACAAGACTTTCCAGTTTCACGCTTTCATGTGCTGTTTGAATTAGGATAAAAATGTGGGCCTGAGTCTATTATTGATACCTCTCGTGACGGGAAACTCACTCTCTTATATAGCAGCCCACCTTGTGAGAAAGCTCCAATTGGTATAAGAATGGGTTAACATGAGCAAACAGTTGTCTCCTGCATTGGTCCACTTGGGCCCTCTGAGGTCTTACAGATCCAGTGAGTTTCTTCTTAATCAGGTGGTCCTCCCAAAATACTCAACAAATAGCCTTTGGGTTCTTTCCAGAAATACTCTTTCCTGGACAGAGCCCTGTAACTTCGTGTTGCTCCTCACCTTAGGGTGTGGATTCCAGGGTTTTCAGTACCATGGTCTGTCTCTTTTAAACCTGACTCTCTTCTAACGTACAAAGACTGTGTTAAGTTCTGAATTAGCAGGAGCCTCCTCACGTCCCTCCTTTTGCATGTTTGACTTTTGTTAGTGCAGCTTAATCTCCCGTTAACTTTGAAGGTACCCATGTTTTATGCTTGTCTAGGACTGACTGGAACACTGTTGAGATTCCAAATCCTTGTAGTCTCTCTGGGATTGTGAAGCAGTAGGGACTCTTTCAAATACAGGGGATGGAAAAAGTAGTTCAAACATGCTTAAGAAAAAAAAATGGGCTGACATAACTGAAAAGTACATGGATAGATGGTTTCAGGAATGGCTAGATCCAGGTGTCATTAGGGAATTGCCAAACTGTTCTCCAAAGCTGCTGCAGCATTTTATACTCCCACCTGTGGGGTGTGAGGATTCCAGTTTCTCCACATCTTTACCACCATCTGTCACTGTCTGTCTTTTTGATTACAGCCATTCTAGGGGATGTGAAGTGGTATCTCATAGTGGTTTTTTTTGCATTTCTGTAATGACTAGTGATATTGAGCATCTCTGTGCCTCAGTTCTCAAATCTGTCAAATGAGGATAATAATAGGAACTACCTCTTGGGTTGATGTGAAGATTAAGGGGGCTTGATAAGAGCGTAAGCACTCAATACAAGCTCTGAATTATTACCGTTAGTGGTAATTCTCCACTTTTGGGCTGTCCCTCTCTTGGTTGTGAGCTCCCTGAGGACTATCTTGGTCTCTGTGCAGACCCCAGGTCTCTGGCACAGACTGTTGCTCAGTCTGTATTTGTTGAATGGGGAACCAGTGGAAATACGTCCTCTTTGTACGAAGAACTCAACCCTCAGTGACCTGCCGGCCTCCATCTCACTTCTTCCTTGAAGACTTTCTGGCCACACTGTCCTTCCCCTTCTCTGATTTATCACAAGTGCTTTCACCACTTGGGGCTGTTGTCTGTGCCCCTCCTCTCCCGTCCCTTGCCTCCCTGCTGGCCAGTCCCTGGCAGGTGCTCAGCAAACCCACAGGGTCCTGATGTTGCAGAACATCTGGGCCTCAGGACCCTTACCATCTACCGTCCAGGCAAGAGGCTGCTGGTGTTCAGGCAGGGCAGAAATGAAGTGGATTGAGGAGGGCTGTTTTTGGAGCTGGTATTCCACAGGGCATGCCCAGAGCAACCCCCTGGTGGGACAGATCCTGCTCACAGCCCCTGATAATGTACGTTGTCATCTGACAGCAGGATTGATGGTGGCCAGCGTAGACTGAGGATGTCCTTTACCACGGAGCTGCCTTTCCCGCGGTGTCTGATTTCCCCCTCACGGTGACCATGAGCAGAACCAGACAGCCAGGTTCAAGTCCAGGTTCCTCCTCTTACTTCTTGGGGGCCTTGAGCTATGCCATGGAGCCTCTGTCTCTTCATCTGTTAAATGGGATAATAACAGAACCTGCGTCACAGGCACAGAGTAAAGGCCCTGTAGGTGTTGACTATTTCCTGCACTCATCCTCACCATCATCCCTGTCATCACTGGTTGTCGGGTAATGAACCTTGGGCTCGGTGTGCAGGGCAACTGACCCAAGGTCACCTAGCTGCCTAGGGCCAGATGCAGCCCTGGAACCTGCGGGTGACCGTGCTGAGAACCAGCCCACTGGAGTGTCGTAGATGTGATTTTTGAGGCAGCAGAGAGATGGGGAGATACTGGAACATTTGCGCATGTCTGGGCCCAATGATTAAGGAAACTTAACTCTGCCTGCGTGGGCCTGTTGGGGGAGTGATTCTGTCTGAAAATCTCCCCTAATATCTGGAGCCCAGCTGGTCTCTGCCTTCTCAGTTCCTTTCTCATTACACTTACTGCATGGCTGAGACCCTTTGATTGAGGCCGGCCTGACCTTTAGAATGTCCCGGCCTGTGCTTGTGGTGTGAGATGAGAATGAGGGAGCGTGGGGCTGGCTTGTGGATTAAGGCCCTGACTGGCCTCTTTACATGTCCCTGTGAAGGCAAGGTGGTTTTTTATACCCATTTTACAGATGAGAAAACTGAGTGCTGGGGAGGGGCAGTGTCTCTGGCCACTTCCGTGACCTACCAGTCTCTCTCTCTCTCTCTGTGTCTCTCATTTTCTCCTTCTCTCTCTCACTTCCTCTCCTCCAGCCACACTGCCTCCTGCCCGGTTCCTGTTACAGACCTCATATGCTCCCACTGTGCCTCTCTGCATTTGCTCTTCCCTCTACCAGGCACGCTCTCCCCAGATTTCGTCAGGGCTCTCTCCCTTGCTTTATCCGGAATCTCTGTTCAGATGTCACCTCCTCAGAGGCGCCTTCCCTGATCTCCCTATTTGAAAGAGCACTTCCTTTTCCAGATCTTCTAGCCCCTCATGCTGATTTTTCTTCACAGTGTTTGTCACTGCCTGACATTGTGTTATAGACTTGAGTTTTCTTTATTTTGCTATGTCTCCTGTACTAGAATGTAATATCCACCAGATGAGGAACTTCTCTGTTTTATTAATAGATTTACCCCCAGACCCTGGAACACTGCCTGTTGTGAAGGAGCCACTCAGGGGCACATTTACTGAAGGAATGAATGAATGAATGAATGAGTGATGTTCCCCAGCTCCAAATTGCACTGTTTGTCCAGAGCAGAGCTGGGATTTGGCTGGTGACCTGGAGGCTGTGTTTGGTCCCTCATTCCTGCCCTCACCTCTGCCGTAGGAGCTGGCCAAGAGGACCCCCGGCAAGCACCCTGACCACCCCGCGGTCCAGAGTGCCCTGCAGGCCATGAAGACTGTCTGCTCCAACATCAATGAGACCAAGCGGCAGATGGAGAAGCTGGAGGCCCTGGAGCAGCTGCAGTCACACATCGAAGGCTGGGAGGTGTGTCTGGGGCAGGAGGGGCCTCCTGGGCCAGGGCCGGGCCAGGGGTGCACATCTGTAGGTTTAGATTGTGGTCTGGGTGTCACATTCAGCCTGCAGCACATTTTGTTTGATCTACATGGTGTTTGCAAAAAAAAAAAGTTTAATTATTTTCCGATTAAGTCCACATAAAAGTCTAGATTTCAAGTTTGTCTTAAAAAAATTGGTAACATTGGGCCCCATTTTCCATGGCAACAGCCACTGGAGCCTCCAGTTTTCCCCAGTCCCCTCCACTCCCCAGTCATTCTCCTTCACATGCTGCCTTATCTGCCTGGTGTCCCTAGACCTTTGAGCTTTCGATGTCAAAATCAAGAGTAGTGTTTAAGGGTTCACTCCAGGACAGAATTCTGACTTTGACACTCCCTTACTGGGTGACTTTAGGCAAATGTCTTAACTTCTCTGAACTTTGATTTCCTTGTCTATACTTGCACATAGTAGGTTCTCAATAAATGGTAGGTATGGATATTACTAGGATCATGATTATTAGGAGATGGAATTCTTGAGATCTTCTGTTGCATATAATTTATTTATTTAAACACCTTCCCCTTCCCCTTTGATCCCCTCTTCCTTAAATTATTAGAGCTTTCCTACAAATCTGTGGAAGGAAATGGGAAAATCTGAATAAATAAAAAAGGCAATCTCCAAGTAAGTACAGCTGGAATGAGAGATTGAGACTAAAGAGGAAAGACTCTTAGACACAGTTTGTTCTCTGAATCATCTGCCTTAGACCCTCTGGATTTTCTGGCACTTGCTGTGTTTAGAATTTTCACTTTATCTCCCTGTTGTTAAGGACTCCTAAATGTGACTATGTAGCTAAGAGGCTGAGGGTGTGGCTGCAGAGGGGAGGAGCCTCTGTGTTCAGGGAGGAGGTGGGTGTTGTGGATTCGTGTTTGCCACGTACCCACTCTCCTCCGGCTGGGCCTTCCTGAGGCTGGAGAACAAACAGCTGCATTTCTCAGACCCCTTGTAGCTCTGGTTTGGGTTGTGATTGGCCAAGATCACATCAAGCTACTCGAAATTTGGAAGGCAGGGGTGGGAGGAGGCCACTCTTGTCCTGTTTTTGCAGCAAAGCACAGCCGTGGTTGTGTTTGGCTTTTTGCGGTAGCGTTAGCAGAGAGCCCTGTTTCCAGCTTCTGGGCATCAAGAGAAAGGACATCTCTTGTTGTTGGTGGTGGTGCTGTGTATCTAGTAGCATGGGATGACTTTGTAGCTGGAGGTTGAGGCAACAGCTCCTGAGGTCCTGGAAACAGCATGGGCAGTATTTCTCTAGAGTATCGGCTCGTGCAGGTGGTTGTCTGATTCGCCCTTTCCCCAGTGGAGGCAGAGGCATTGGCTCCCCTGGAGGGCCAGTTCTGCAGTGTTCTTGCTTCTCTGGGAGCCATGCTTCTAGGCTCCTCTAGCCCCCTCAGGTATTGAGTCAGGCCTTCATTTCTTTCTGCTTAAAATGCATAGCTTGGTTTCTGTTTCCTGCAACTGAAAATTATGTTGTTTAGGATGTGTCCTCTAAGGAATCTCATTTCACCTTCATGATGTCAGAGCTCTGATTTGGTTTCTTGTAATCTTCTTGGCCTTCCCCTCCATGGCTCCACGATGGCAGCAGCTCCAGGCATCATGTGTACCAAAGCAGGGAGAGACAGGGATATGGCCAGGGCAGTGAGGGGGAGCTCTCCTCCGTAGTGGAGGAAAACCTATTCCAGAAGCCCCAGAGAGACTTCCTTCTCCATCTCACTGGCCAGAAGTGGGTCACTTGGCCACTTTTAGTAAATATGCTGACCTAAAGAGCAAGTAGAGTAGACACACTTAAACATCCATCTGGTTGGGCTTTGAGCTTCCTGGCTGCCAAGGTAAAAAGAGTAGGACACATAAGTTACTTAACATTCATTGTCAAAAAAGGAAGAAGCTGGAGCAGTTCTTCTGGGTGTCAGAGAGTTTCCGAGCATGTAGCTAGAAACGAAATTGCTCACGTGGGCCCCTGTGGAGAATGTATTAAGCAAGCAATTTGGCAGCCAGGGCAGAAGTAATTTCCAAATGCCTTCTTCTGTTAAGGGCCTAAGAAAATAGGAACTAAGGCCCTTTGGGGCCCTTTTTGACCCTGAAAAGGCTGCACTTTGAGAATGGCCCTTATTTTGGCCACTGTTGCTGGGTGCAGTAGGAAATAAAGTGATGAACAATAGCTGCAGGTGATTATTGAGCACCTATTACATGTTCCCAACACTTGAAGAAACGTGCTGTTGTTGTCCCCATTTTATAGGTGAGGAAACTGAAGCACAGGGTCTTGGCTTTGGGGCCCAGCCTTATGACTTACAGATTGCCCTGCCTTAGGCAAGTTTGTCCTACTCACCTGGCCTTATTTTCCCTACTTGTCTAATTCCAATAATCATGCCTCTGAAATTACCTCCTGGTATTATATTGAGGATAAAGTGAAGCTTAGAATACGAATGTTCTTTGGAAAAAGTGAAATGGTTTTCTTTGCAGTAGAAGGGTTTCTAAGTTTGATCCTCAAGGTGACTTGGGAAACTAATATGTTCTAGCTAGGAAAAATAATGTTTAATGGTAAAGCTACTTGCTATAGCTTCATGCTGTCTGTAGTTACAACCTCAGAGGACTATATGACTTTGGGTGTAGTGCACAGTGAATGATGATGGTTGAAAATCCTATTTCTGATTCTCTTCTTGATACCTTTTTCTGGGTATATATATATGTGTGTGTGTGTATACATGTGTGTGTGTGTGTGTGTGTGTGTGTGTGTGTATTTATTTATTGAAGTATAGTCAGTTTTCAGTGTGTCAGTTTCCGATGTACGGCTAATCTTTTTGTTTGACCTCTTGCCAATCTGATTAGATGGCTGTCTTCTCTCTTGGAATATGGCTGGCAAGGGACTTGTTTTGGAGGAAGAAGAGTCTTTTCTTGGCCACTTTCTTGCTGTGTGCTTGGGTTTGCATCATTAGCTTGATCTCCAAATCTGTGGGGTTTTTGGCCCAACTTTCTGTAAGCCAATTGTCCTTTTTAGTTGTGGGACTGGTTTAATTCAGATAAGTTAATCCGTAAATCCATCTTACTGAGCATTAGGAAATGGCAGTGTGTCGCAATATTGTGGAGGTGAGCATCCGAGCCAGCCCCCTCTGCTCATAGAGGGAGGGGTTCCTTTGCCTCAGTTTCCTCATCTGAAAAGTCTGGAGAATGGCAGGACGCCCCATGGGTCACTTGAGGATTCGGGGAGCGGATGCCTGCAGAGCACTCAGAACAGTGCTTTGCTTATTGGCTCAGAGTAAGTGCTCAATAAATGTCAGGAGGAGCTGTGGCAGCAAAGCAGGATTTCCTTCTTCATTTTTTTTTAGATGAAAAAGCATCGTGCAACTTTGGCTAGGGCTCATCATCCCAGTGCGGGCTGGCCCTCCTGCGGAGGGACGCTCTGGATGCCAGCCCCACAGACTTCCGTGAGAAGCTCATGGTAATAAACGAGTGCATGTTCTTAATAAGACAGAGGACACACCGCTCCTGCTGGCTCTGGGAGCCCTGGTTTAAGGGACCATCAACTGCTCCCTCACCCACAGGGGACAGAGGGATCAGGGGTGAGGAAACAGAAAATCGTTAAAAAGAACGACCATCAGTAGAGGTTCCCGTATGTTCTTCCCACCGTCCTGGGGGCGCCTTGTGTTCCCAAGGGAATGTGGTCTCGCCCCTTCAAAGACCCCTGCTTCAGACCAGTAAGTGCATAAAAAAACCCCTTCGGAGTCCCTTCTATGAGACAGCATGGGGTAGTAGAGGTTAGTGGGTAGGACAGTGGGGCGACCTGTCTGGGTTCACATCCCAGCTCACTCATTCACCAACGATATGACTTTGAACAAGTCACTTCACTGCTCTGTGCCTCAATTTTCTCATCTGCAAAGTGAGAGCTGTCTTCAGGATTAAGAGTTTGTGTAAGATATCTAGAGCCGTAGTCGGCAAATGTCAGCCCTGTGCACGCAGTAGCTTTTGCCATCTCTGAATGTTCCTACTTTGGTCCCACACTGAAGAGGTCTCCAGCCCTGACTGGTGGACACCTCGAGGCTCAGCCTCTTCCCTGTGTATCTGATCCTCAGACCACCCCTGACCTGGGTTCAGGGCTTCCAGGGAGACTGAGGCTCAGCTGGGCTTCCTAGGAGGGCTGGGGTGGAAGGGATCTCTCCCTGGAGTGTCCTTCGCATTTCAGATGTAGTTTGCTGGGTGGTCGTTGGCCGAGGCTGCAGAGGCAGCTTCCCAGGCTGAGTGTGCTTCCTCTCCATTGGCAGAGTGGTCAGGTCTAGGCCTGTGTGACCTCCGGACTCTTGGGCCCTGCAGCTGGCACTAGATTCTTATACTGGCAGCTAAAATCCCCCTTTGGAGCCTGGAAGGGCTGGTGGGTGAGTGAGGTGGGTGGAGGAAACGGGAAGCACGTGGTCTCCGAGGCACTGCCGTATCGCTGTCTGCTCTGAGCTGGCCCGTGGGCCACTGACGGAGCCTTGTCACCCTGGGAGTCACACTCACCCCGTTTGCAAGGACTCTGGAGCTCTAAAGGGCCCTTGGGGACGGAAGCCCTGAGCTCCAGGGCAGCAGGCGTGCTACCTCGCTGCGTCACTGTGCTTTGGGAATCACACATCTGCCTGCAGCACGCAGGCGTCCGGGCTGTGATTTCTGCTAATGAGTGCATGCTCCTGTCCTGGGCCACACAGCTCTTGTCTGCAAAGAAACTGGTTTCCCAGGACCCCAAGTGGGCCCCAGAGGGGGTCTCTGGCACAAATGGACAAATGGATTTGCTGCGTCCAGCCGGGCCATAGGTGTGGAGCAAACCGGCTCCGACAGCAGCTAGCAGACAGCCTAATTTCTGAGTTGCCAAAACCAGTTCCCTGTACTGGGTCTCAGAAATAATCAAGTTAGCAGATCTCTCTGGGTATGAACTCTGTGTTGGTTCTGGGTGTTGAGTGTCTGGGGAAGGAGATTATGTGAACACTTCTCCCTCCTTCCTCCCCAAGTTCATTTCCAGGCAGAGACAGCATCCTTTCTCTTTGTCTCTCCCTTCACTGTGATCTGCAGGTTTGTCAAAAGAATTTCCCCTAAAATATCGCTTTTGCATAATATCCCTCGGGCCTAAATGTCAGAGACTCTGTCTTGCCCACTTGTTGTTGGGGCCTCTATCCTTATCTTGATGTATTAAAGTACGTGGTTGGGAGCTGTGAGAAAGAGAGATTTCAACGGCTTAAATGAGATAAAAATTTAGTTCTCGGTACTGATACAGGCTAGGGAAGCTGTGCTCCATTCAGGCCCTGGTCCCTTCCAACCCCTTCCTCCACCATCTGCTACAGTGTATCCCACCACTGTACGGTCTCCCAGCCTATGGCAAGAGGGCGAGGGGGAAGGGGAGGGAAACCATGTAGAAGTGGAGAACACTGGCCTTAAGGTAGTCACATGGCCACCCCTGGTGCAGAGGATGCTGGGAAATTGAGTCTGGTTGGGCAACCATGCACCCACTGAACAGCTAAAACTCTTCCTGTGACGGGAAAAGAGCATGGATTTGGGGACTCCCAGGGGACTGCCCTAGCTGGCACTCTGTGCCCTCCAAGACCTCCTTCCTGCTTTTTCTCTCTTAGCACTTTGGGATCTCTCTGCCCCTGCCTCGGTCCCCTCAGAGCTCCAGATGGACACGTGTGGTCCCCAGGTCTGAGGATTCCTCCCAGGAGCAACCGTGCCTCGTCCCTGTCCTCAGCCTCTTCATCTTCGCCATCTTCCCAGGCCCATTTCACTCCTCCCCGGTGTCTTTCCTGATCACACTGCCCTGATTCTCACGCAGATTCAGCAAACATCACACTCACTTGGCATCTTAGCCCCCGCCCACCCCCGACACTGAGCATAGATGACCAGGTGGAATTCGGGACTGTTCCTTCCCATCTTTTCTCACATCCTTAGTTAGAGTGAGTGCTCTCAGAATCCTACCCCTGGCGGTGTTCACATTGTGTTTGTCACGTGTTCTCCAAGCATTTATTGAGCACCTGCTGTGTGCCAGAGAGTGTGGTAGGTGCTGGGAATGCAGTGGCAAATGCTTGATAGATGCTTGATAATACTTCCTGTTTGTGTGGAAGTGGCATTCCTGTGGAGGAGGTAAAATAACAGGTCAAGACACAGATAAATAAAAGGGAAGGGACAGGCAAAAACTAAACCAAAACAAAACCCCAAATAAAGCCAGATGCCGACTAGTGCTGTGTGAACGGGGTGAGTCCTTTCACCTCGCTGAGCCCCAACTCTCTCTTCTGTGAAATGGTCCTCTCTGTGTTCTTGCCAGCATTGTCTTGGCACACTCAGCAGAGGGGAGCCATTGGTCAGATTGTGTTGGTTCTCTGTCTGCTCCCAGATGTGCCCACGGTGGTGTATTGATTTTGAGGGGTGCAGGAGGCAGCAGCAGGCTCTGTCTCTGGGAAGGAAGGAGGTATCCCTGAGTGCTCTCGTGGATTTACCAGCTCTTACACTGCACCCCGCCCCCCCCCATCACTCTCCCAGGGCTCCAACCTCACGGACATCTGCACTCAGCTCCTCCTGCAAGGGACTTTGTTAAAAATCTCCGCGGGCAACATCCAGGAGAGAGCCTTCTTCCTCTTTGACAACCTCCTTGTCTATTGCAAGCGGAAATCCAGGTGAGTTGCTGGGGAGGTGGCGGGGCAGGGCTGCCCGGGTGGACCAGGAGGCTGGGGTTGGGTTGAACTCTGACGGTTTCTCATGGTGACAACATAGGCTTGTCACTTTCCTCTCTGGGCCTCCCTTTTCTCTTCTGAGTTGAGGGCTTTGTTCTAGATCAGCACTATCTGAGAACCAATATTACTTAAAATTTTCTAGTAGCCACATTAAAAATAAAAAGGAATAGGTGGAATGAATTTAAGTAATATATTTTATTTATCCCAATATATCCCCAGATATTATCATTTCAACTTAATTGATTTTAAAAATTATTAAATAGGCATTTTGCATTTGAAAAAAATTACAGTGTATCTTCAAAATCTGGTGTGTGCCTTACCCTTACAGCACATCTCAATTTGTGCTAGGCACTTTTGAAGGGCTCAGTCGCCACCTGTGGCTTGTGGCTGCCATAGTGGACAGTGTAGGTCGAGATGACCATGGAAGTTTGGAGATTCTTTGTGCCACCAACATCCTGTGATTCTCAGATTCAAAAGCAGATGGTTTGAGGGGAGGGGGCTCTTCTACTGTTAAGTTTCTTGAGGGAAAGATAATATCTTTGTCATCTTTGTGTGTCTCACTGGAGCTTCTTAAACTTTGTAGAGTGAATGGATGGGTGGATGAGTGGGAGACGGATGCAGATGTGTGTGTGACTGGATGTGTGGGCAAATGGGAGGAGGGAGAGATGGGTAGTTGGAGGCGTGGGAGATGAATGGATGTAGATGAAGGGCGGCAGGGAGGGAGTGGCTGTGGATGCAGGCATGAATTGATTTGTGGAGGAATCAATGGAGGAATGGAGGAATGAGTAGATGAATGAGTGAGTGGTTGAGTGGTTGGAGGTTGAGGAGATGGCTGGATGGAGGGATAGATAAAAAGTGAGGGGAATATATGAGTGTCTGGGTAGTTGGAGAAATGGATTTGAAGACCTGCTGAGCTGGCAGAGGTGTGATTAGATGAAAAGTGAGTTGGGGGCGTTTATGTATGGTTCTGTTGAGTGAGTGGGTAGATGATGGATGGTCATAAAACTGGGAATCTGGGTGGGTGGTGGAGGTTTGGAGATCAGTGGATAGATGGTCAGTTGGATGGGTGTGTTGAAGGATGGTTGGTTGATAGTTGCCTGAGTGGCTGGACTCCCACATGGAAGGTTAGATGATTGGATGATTGAGTTGATGGATGGATAGATGACTGATTAGAGAGAAGGAAAGTTAGGAGATGGAGGGGTAGGATCGTGAGTGGGTGGTTGGATGGATGAGTGGGTGGGTAGATGGATGGACCAAGAGAACTCCTGCCTTTCAGTTTTCTTGCCCAGCAAGTAGAGGACAATCTCAACTGACCAGTGCAGCCCTTTTTGAGTTCAGCTTCCTGTTACTTTGTCTTAGGGATGAAATAATGACTTTCCAGAGGCTTCTTTACTGCTTTATCTAGCAAAGGCTAGGGCTGACGTGAGGTCCCAATCCTGGGCTCCACTGTCAGCATCACCTCCAACTTCCCTTGTGGTTCTGGGCTTGTCACTTACTGTCTTTGAGCCTTGTTTTCCTTATTTGACTCTGCTGGCCTCCTCAGGTGAAGGTGAGGCACCGTTGATGGGCGTTCTGTGTCTGCGGTGGCATCTCATTGTCTTCCTGCTCCAGCCTGACCTCTCTGAGCCAGTTTTCTCTTCTGTAAAATGGGGTTGATAAGCCCCTTCTTACAGTAGTTCTTGGTTCAGAGCCAAGCTCCATATTGAATCCCTGTTCAGCCATTTCTCTTGCTCTGTGACTTTGCCTGCCTGCCTCAGTTTCCTCATCTGTAAAATAGGGTGAATTATCACCTGTCCCTCGTAGAGTCATTGTGAAGGACAAATGTGTTCATTGTGCCCGGCGCACAGTAAGTGTGCAGAATAAGGAGTAGCAGGTATTACTGTGAACTTACCTCCACACATGATGTGTCCTATGCAGTGGGACCCCATGGGTGCAGCACCTGGCCCCTGGCGCATAGTAGGTGCTTCAACCACCGGCCCCTCCCCCTCCATTCTTTCCTCCCTCTTCTGGAACTTGATTCTTCTGGGCAGAGGCCTCGGTCTCCCTCTTTCACCGTCTGTGGGTGGCCGGTTCAGTGTGTCTCTTTATCATTTGATATTCTATTCCCACTCACTCCGTTAGTCTGTCTGCATGTGTCTCATGTCCTCCCATCCCTCCATCACTGCCCTGTTCTTCTCTCTCCTTGCTTCCTGCCTGTTCGCACTGGGCCCACCCTGAGAGTCCTCTGTTGGCAGTGCCAAGGCCACTGCCAGCGTCCAACCCTAGCCCTTCCCCTCCACCCACCCTCGGTTGTCTGAAACAGGCACTTTTCCCAGAACACTGAGGTTTAGAAAACAGAACGTCCCTTCAGGCCTCTGTGATCTCCCAGCGTTGGCCAAGTTTGCTCAGCCTTCAGCTACCTGTGTGCAGGCCCTTGCTCCATTGGCGGGGTCGCACCTGTTGGAGTGATAACAGCTGATGCTGACCAGACTGGACTCCAGGTGGGCCTTCTAGGGCCTGTCCTGTGGCCGCCACAAGCTCCTGTAAGGCTGTTTCCTGAGCTCCATCCTGCAAGTGAGCTGGGCTGGCTGGAGGGAGAGGGCGCATCTGTCTCCTGAGAGAGCCTGACAGGCGGCCACTATTCCTGCCTCTGGATCAAGAGCCAGAGGGCAGGGCTCCGAGAGGTCTCGGTGGGTTGGGTAGTGGTGGATGGAACTCCGGCCTGACTGATGTGGCCACAGGAAACGCCTGATGCTGGTAGGTTACAGGTTTCTGCCTCCTGTTTGGTCTTTGCCTGTTCTGCTGGCCACTGCCCACCCGGGACATGGATCAGCGGGGCCTCTGACTCAGAGTGCTTCTGGTCTAATTCAAAAGAAGAGGCTCCTTGGATGTCGGAAGTAGAAGGGAGAGTTTTAAAAGCCCACCTCCCCATTCTTCAGAAGGGGAAACTGAGACGCAGAAGCTAAGTCTCATATATCTCAGCTGCCTGTTAAATGTCTTAGAGGTGTCGGCATCGTGTAGTGGTTAAGGACACAGAGGCTCCATCCCTCGCTAGTCCTGTCGGCTCTTTGTGCCTCTGTTTTCCTATCTGTTTAATGGGGATGAAAGTAGTCTGCATCTCATGAGGTTGTCTTTATAGGTTAGGTAAGATAGAACATGTACAGTGGTTAGAATGACGCCTGGCACAAGGTATGTGAGGTGGAGGAAATCTAAGTGCATATCTTCCCTTGGGTGTGTCACACACAGCTCACACTTAACTTGGGTCTAAAACATGACTCTTCATTGCAATTCCTGCGCAGATCTTTTTCTCCTCGGGTCTTTCTCATTCCTAGTAAATGGTACCACCATTCACCCAAGATCTCAGGCCAGAATCTTGGTTGTCCTTGATTCTGACCTCCCTCACCTCCACATCATCAGCAAGGGCTTTGCATTCTCTCATCAAACATTGGCCAGAACCTTAATGTAATTCTGATAAAAATTTCAGGAGTGGAGGGTTGTGTGTATGTAAATGATTTTAAAATCTACATGGAAACACGAAGAAACAAAAATAGCTAAGACGATTTTGAAGAAGGACAAAATTGGAGGACTTTTATTACTGATACCATGGCTTACTATAAAGCTGCGGTAATTAAGACAATGTGGTATTGATGTGAAAACAGACAAATGGATTATTGGAATGGAACAGTGAATCCCGAAGTAGACCTACATCTTTTGAATTTCAACAAAAACACCAGTATGTCTCAATATGTGGTGCTTGCTCAGTTTGATATCCAAAAGGAAAAAAATGAGTCTTGACCCCCCCACCTCTCACAATATACAAAAATCAACTTCAGATAGATCAATGATTTAAATGTGAAAGGTTAAAAAAAAGCTTCTAGAACGCATAGGAGGCTATCTTCCTGATCTGGGGGTAAGCAAAGTTTCTTAAATTGGATGAAAAGTAAAATAATTATAAAGGAAAAATAGATTTATCAGACAACATTAAGATTAAGAACTTCTGTTCATCAAAAGATACCAGGAAGAGAGTAAAAAAGGCAAGCCACAGAGTAGGAGATCTTTGCAATCCACTCTCCAAAGGACTCATATCTAAAATATATAAAGGGAAGGAGTGTATACCTCAGTGGTAGAGTATGTGCTTAGCATGCATGAGGTCCTAGGTTCAATCCCCAGTACTTCCATTAAAATAAATGAATGAATACCTCATTACTTCTCCCCTATAAAAAAATGAAAAAAAAACCCCACCAAAATATATAAAGAAGTCCTATAAGCCAAATTTGGCCCTTTGCTTATTTTTATAAATAAAGCTTTATTGGCACACAGCCATGCCCGATCATTTTTGTATTGCCTGTGGATGCTCTCATGCCTCAAGGACTGAGTTCAGTAGTTGTAACAGAGACCATGTGGCCCATAAAATTAAAAATGTTTACTATCTGGCCCTTTTTCAGAAAAAGTTTTCTGAGCTCTGCTGTAAATCATAAAGAAAAAAACAACCCAACAGAAAAGTGCTTAAGGGACCAATGGAGGACACCAGATGGCCAATAAACATGAAAAGGTGCTTGGCCTCAGGGCTCATCAGGGAAATAAAGATGAAATCTTTATTAGAGACACTCTGTGCCACCAGAATGGCCAGAAGGAGAAATGAAATACCAGTTGTGGAGGATGCGGAGCAACTGGAATGTCCCTCTGCCGCTGGGGGTGGGAGAATTGATACGACTTGGCAGTATCTACTAAAGATGATCACGTGCATCTGTATCACTGAGCAGTTCAGCTCCTGGGTAGATGACCCAAAGGAGCGTGCGCAGATGTTCTACATAAGACACATGCCAGAACATTCACAGCAGCACCAAACTGGAAGCGACCCAGATGTCCATCACCATCACCCTGTGTGATTCCACGTGTGCGACGTTCCAAAACAGGCAGAGCGAATCCGTAAGGTTAGGTGTCAGGAGAGTGCTTACGCTTGTAGCGGGTAGTGACCAGAAGAGGGCATGATGGGGAGCTCTGGGAATGCCTCCTGCCCTTCCAAATTGCAAGCTGTATTCTCAGAGACTTTGTTTTGTTCCCTGCTGCAGCTCTGGCACCCAGATGCATGGTGCCTGGTGCCCAGTAGGTTTTCTCTTGAGCGCTTGTTGAATGCATGGATGAATGTCTCCCCTTGGTGTCAGCTTGGTATCCTTCCCATGGGAAGCGCTAGTTGGATTGCTGAGTAACTGAATGAATGAGCTAGAGGATTCACCTGAGTGAATGAATGAATGGTAGGTAGGTAGATGTAGGTGGATGGATGGATGGACTGCCCACTCCACAGTCCTTCCCATTTGGTCTTATTTCGGGAAGTTTCTGTTTGTTGGATACTCTGAAAGTCTCTACCCTTTTTCTAGCCTAGAAGAATGGATTTCTTTTGTTTCTTGTTGGTTTCACTCGACATCTCCTGTTGGCTCAAAAATAGCTCTGGGAGGTCAGCAAGGCTGTTAGCCCATTTTTCAGGTGAGGAAGCTGTGGCTGAGAGTCGAAGTGACTCGCTCAGATCACCCAACCACCAGCCAAAACGCCATGTTTCTGGCTCAGTTCCCACTCTCCTCCCGTCCCCGGGCGCTCTTGTTTACTACCCAGTTTCCCTTTGTGCTGCTGAAGACGCTTGAGCCCCAGCGAGGTGAGACAGAGGGAATGCTGACTTCCCACTGTCTTTCAGGGTCACAGGGGGCAAGAAGTCCACCAAGAGGACCAAATCGATCAACGGCTCCCTGTACATCTTCAGGGGTCGAATCAACACTGAAGTCATGGAGGTGGAGAACGTGGAGGATGGGACAGGTAGGCCCGACCCCAGCTCTGCCTGAGCCCAGCCCACCTGCTCTGTGCCGCAATGTCTGTTGCAGTTAGTTTTTCCCTTTGGTTAGGAAAGGTAACCTAGCTACAGAAAAGTGCCTAAAACACACGTACAGAAAGCAAACCCCTGGGTGGTCACCACTCAGGTTAACAAATAAAATGCTCCTTGAACCCCAGAAGCCCCCCACATACCCCTCCCTGGTCAAAGTGCCTCCTTCCCCCAGAAGTAACTGCTGTCCGAATTTTGTGATGATTATTTTCTTGCTTTTTAAAAATGCTTTTACCTCCTAAATGTGCATTACTAAACACTTTAATCAAAATGTATGTTTTTGAACCTCATTTAGATGGTTATATGATGACAAATACATATAAAATTATATATGTATTTATTATTATTATTATTTCACGGTGTGTTTCTCTGGGTAGCACTGGCCTGGAAAATGGATTTTCTTTTTTTTGTAAATTAAGGCATAGTTGACTTTACAACATTGTATTAGTTTTACATGTACAACATAGCGATTCAATATTTGTATGGATTATACCCCATTTAAAATTATCGTAAAATAATGGCTCTATTTCCCTGTGCTATGTAGTAAGTCCTTGTTGCTTATCTATTTCATATGTAGTAATTTGTATCCCTTAATCCCATACCCCTTTTGTACCGCTTTGCCTTCCCTTTCTCCAATTATATAATTATATAAATGGTCATAAACTATACTGTACATTCTTTCCCATCTTGCTTCTTTCACTCAACCCCATGGTGGTGAGGTTCGTTTGTGTTTCTGCATGTGGTTCTCCGTGGCTTGTTGGTTTCCATTGCTGTATACTGTTCTGTTGCACAGATAGTCCTCAGTTTACTCATTCCTTTGGTGAGGGACATTTGGGTTGTTTCTGCTGTTCACTGTTAAGAACAGTGATCCTGTAAGTATTCGTGTGTGTACACCTCTTGGTGTATTTGCCCTTGAGCTTGTCAAGGGCAGAGATTCTGAACTGGTTTTGAGCCACAGGCCCCTTTGGCAGCCTCATGAAACCTATGGGCCTGGCTTCAGCATCCCTGGATGTCAGCCTGTTTTCAGAGACGTTTGCTGATCTCCAGCCAGTGGTGTGTAAGGGCCTGCGGCGTAGCATTGTCGGGCTTGCACTTGGGTTTTAAGTAGCCCAGGTGCCTGAATGAGACAGGCAAGGAGGCAGGGAAGCAGTCCCGGGCTGCCGGCAGGTGTCTTCCCATGAGTCCTTCCTTCATGAAGCCCCTGTGACTGAGTTACTGGAAGAGCTCTTTGCTGGCAGGTCTTCCTTGCCCACCAGAGGACAGATAGGAGATGAGGTGAGCGTTTGAAGAGTGCTAAGTTCATCTCCCAAATCTGGATCCTGTTGATGCCCCTGCCGCCCTGACTTTCTGGAGCAGGGGGGGCTGGTCCCGTGACCCCACTCATTAAGCGTGTCGTGGGGAATGTTCAGAGTTGTAGGACTGAGCTCTTGCTGACCCACCCTTGCCTCCTGCCCCTGCCAGCGGATTACCATAGCAACGGCTACACTGTCACCAATGGCTGGAAGATCCACAACACAGCCAAGAATAAGTGGTTCGTCTGCATGGCCAAGACCGCGGAGGAGAAGCAGAAGTGGCTGGATGCCATCATCCGTGAGCGGGAGCAGCGCGAGAGTGAGTGGCTGGGGGTGTTCCCGCACCCCTGGGGCGAATATGGCTTCCCCTAGTCTGGTCACTCAGTAGAATGAGAGCTGTGTCTAGGAAAGGGGCCCAGGGCCTTTTCCGGGAAGATCAGAGCTACAAAAAGCAAGACTTTGAAGGGGCAGGGAGCTCTGGGACTGTTATAACTTGGTGGTATCTCAGCTCACCCAAGGTCATCTGGTTCAGCCCACTAGACAGATGGGGAAACTGAGGCCCAGGGGAAGGGTCTTGCCCAAGGTCATGCCAGTATGGTTGGTCATCCTGGGATTCTGGCTTCCTTCACCCTTGAGGGTTGGTAGCTAAGATGCTGCCTATGTGTCTCTGTTCCCTCCGCGGTACTATTTCCTTCACGTGGGGTTCTTTTTGTTTGACATTCACCCAGTCTTCGTCTGAGAGGAGGGTCCTTGGGGGCTGCCCTTAACTAGGGTCATGAATCTCTGGGCCTGGGCACCTCTGAGGCAGCTCGCATAAGAAGCGCAGAGCTGGGTGTGATGGTTGAGTGGGGTTGGGGGTGGGCGCTGGACTGTTGTGCAGAGACCACCGTGCTGGGAAGAGAGGACAAGGTATGTTTGGGGGCGAGTTGCTTCTGCTTTCCAGACCTCAAGGATGTGGTCTGACACACAGATAAAAATTCCTGCCACAGAGGGTTGTGATACTGCCACATGAAGTTTGGATTCGATCCCACATGCAGATTTGACATAAGGTCCTCAAAATGGTCCCTGTGCCCAGCTTTACAGGGCCAGAAACCGAGGCCCAGTTTTCTCCCTATCTGTGTTGTGCCCACCGGAAATCACCATTCGGACGTGTCATAGATGTATCCTCCTTACCATGTCTGATCAGAATCCTTGATTTCCACCCTATCTTCTTCCCCAATCCTGTTCATTCCCTCGACTGCCCCATCTCAATAAGCAGCTCCTTCAATCATCCAGGAGCTCAAACTCTTGGTGTCACCCCTGATGTCTTGGTGTCTGCCCGCTCCCCAAATTCAACAGATCAGTCAGTCCCTTTGACTCTGCCTTCCACGTATGCCAAGTCCATCCACCTCTCTCCTCTCCCTACTTCCTCCCAAGTGCAAGTCATCATCGTCTCTTCAGAATGAATGTGGGCCCAGCACAGCCAGATCCACTGGTTTTGTTTTTGTTTTTGTATTTTGAGAAGCTAGACATCTGGGTTTTTAGATGATATTTCCTGATTTAAAATGCTGCATCAAAATTTATTAAAATGCTTAGGCCAAATAAACTACCAAACATGGCCCCTGCTGGGGTAAGTTTGTGACTTTTGACATTGATCAGGGCTGAGTGTATGGTTAGGACTGGGGGTCAGGGTCAAGGATGTGGCCTGGCCTTGGTGTGGCTGATCAGTATCTTTGTGGTTAGAATGGAGTGCTGTGGTCAGTGCTGGATATATATGACCATGAATGGGGTATGGCCTGAATGGGCCTTGGTTGTTAGAATTGGGGTGTCATCTAAACCCCGATCTCCCAGCTGAGTTTACAGGGGTGGTGCCTGCTGTGGTCCAGAGTGCAGATCTGGAGCCAAACTTGAGGGTCTGAATCCTGGTTCTACTAATTCTAGATGGACAACCTTGGACAGAGAACTTAATTTCCCTGGGCCTCAGTTTCTTCACCTGTAAAATGGGGATAATGGAACTTGTAGGTTTCTTATGAGGATTAAGTGGCATAGAGTAGGTGCTGTTAAAGCATTTTCTATTATTATTTGTCATTGCTTTTATTGTCAGGATTGGACAGGGTCCAAGTAGAAAATATGGGACAGTGATTAGGGTCAATACTGTGTTATTGTCTAGAGAAACAAGCGAATTTCCATCCCCGGCCCAGAAGGAAGATCTCAGTAAGACTTTCTGATAACTTCTGAATTTGAAAACCCATCCTCAGGTTGAAGGGTTGACTGCTTATTACTCGGGACTTAACCTCTCTGGGCCTCAGCTTTGCCATCTGTGAAATGGGGGCACTTAGCCACCCTTTCCTACAAGGTTCTTGTACAGAGTCACTGGCAGGTGCCTGGAACTGTTCTACAGGCAGTGAGTGCCCCATGGATGACTGCTGGCTGTGGAAGTAGTTGGGGGCAGCTGGGGACAGGGTTTCAGGAGCCACAGGCCCACCTCCTCTGCACCCCAGTGCTGGTGCTGACCATGCCCCCTCCGTAGGCCTGAAGCTGGGCATGGAGCGGGATGCCTACGTCATGATCGCGGAGAAGGGGGAGAAGCTTTACCACATGATGATGAACAAGAAGGTGAACCTGATCAAGGACCGGCGGAGAAAGCTGAGCACCATCCCCAAGTGTTTCCTCGGCAAGTGAGTGGCCTCACCCTGGCCTCCACTGGGTCCCTGGAGGCTGGAGATGGGCAGACCATTTGCACCCACCTGGCTTTTCCCAGCTCTGCTCCTTCCCCCAGGAGCCCTCCTGGGCAGAGCCACTAAAGCACCCTGAATCCCAAGGAATAGCCCTTGGAGGTCAAGGGTAGTGGGGTCGCCATGTCAGGTCTTTCAAATGTTTTTGACCACAACTCACTGCAAAATCTAAGTTTCATATTGTGACCTGATAACACACTTCCGTGTAATATATGATTGAAGCCAAAGTTTCACAAAACTTACTGTGCTTCATGCTCTCTGAAAATATCTGTTCTGTTTCTATTCTGTTCTGTTCTGTTCTACTCATCTCTTCATTCATTTCAAAAATAATGCTGAGCACGACCCATGAAATTGATTTCACAAACCATGAATGGGTTGTCCCCCATGGATTGAGAAACACTGGTCTAACACTCAAGGAAAGAAGCCCCCATAAGTGTCTCAAGCAGGGAGGTATTTAACACAAGGAGTTGATTTCAGAGGTTCTGGAAGGGCTGGAGGAGCAAATGTAGGCCCTTGAATCAGTCTGTTCAGATGCCATAGCAAAGTATCACAGACAGGGCAGCTGAAACAACAGAAATTTATTTTCTCACAGTTCTGGAGGCTAGAAGTCTGAGATCAAGATGTTGGCTTGGCTGAGGCCTCCCTTCAGTGCTTAGGGCCTCCAATTTCTCTGTTTGGGAAATACATTATTTCCTAATAATAAAACATTATTACCCCCATCCCTATGTTTTTCTTTACTGAGGGGAGGTAATTGAGTTTCATTTATTTAATTTTTTTTTAAATGGAAGCTCTGGGGATTGAACCCAGGACCTCATGCATACTAAGCACGTACTCAACCACTGAGCTATACCCTTCCCCCTCCCCTGTCCCCGTTTTATAATTGAGGATCAAAGGGTGAGAACATAGGTAGGATAGGATTGGATCCTAAACCCAGGTTTAAATGTCATTCACCTAGGGGAGGGGGCTGGGGACAGAGAGAAGTGGAAGAAATACAATCCCTGTAAAACCATGAAGTTGTTTCCAGGCCCTACTGTGTGCTAGACGTGATATTTGACACTCGGGGTGGGAAGAACAATGCTTGGGGCTCTTGACCTCACAAAACTTGTTGGAAGAGAAGCTTGCCTGTGAGGCTGGGACTTTGGAATTTATTAACTTGTACCCCACCCACTTCCCAAAAGCTTTTGAAGGGGCCTTGGATAAAAGCCGCTGTAATTATTATATTGCCATAGACACAGGTGAGAGGTGACGTGGACTAGTGTAATCACCGTGGAGGTAGGGGCATGTGGTTGCATCCTGGATCATTTTGAAGGTGACAGCACTTGCTGATGGGGTGGGGAAAGAGAGAATTAAGGACTGTGAGCTCCTGGAAGGTGGAGCTGCTGCTTACTGAGAAAGGGAAGGAGACGGAAGGAGGTTTCAGGCGGCGCAAAAATTAGTGCCTAGAGGCTCCACTTGGACAGTTATGTTAAGACAGTCCCCTGGGATGGAGGGGAGTTGTTAGATGAGTATGACATCGTGACTTCGGGGAGAAAGTCCGGGTTGGAGACCTAAATGAAGGGGATGTGGGCATTTATATGGTCTTCAAAGCCAGGAGACTGAATGAAATCTGCAAGGGGAGGGGTAGAGAGAGTCGAGGCGGGACCGCCTCTTGGAGGAGGAGCCTGAGCAAAGGAGTCTGGGAGGCGCGCGCAGAGAGGCGGGAGGGCGCTGGCCGGGGCGGCGCTGCGGGACCCGGGTGCGGAGGGTGCCGAGATGCAGGGAAGCCGGAACTTCGGTTCGGACGTGTTGAGGTTGAGATGTCCAGCAGACGTTTGTGTATCCAGCAGGTGTTGGATAGGGGTTAGAGACTGAGTGTGGAGCCGAGGGGCGAGCTAAGTGGTGATAGTCTGAGGCTTATGGTTGGTGAGGCCGCAGGCAGGGAGTCTGGGGGGTAGTTGGGACCCTGCGGCGTGTCTGGGATGCCGTGGAGTCGGGCTGCCCTTTTGCCCTCAGAGTCAGTGACCCCAGCTCCACGTTTCCCGGGAGGGTCTGTGGAGAAGGGAGTGTGGGCCCCAGGTCTGCCGGAAGTAGGGAAGGGAAGGGGCAGCCTGGCTGCAGTCCATCAGCGAATCCCTAATCCCTGGGCAGAAAGGAGGTTTTTCTCGCAGGAGGGGTTTGCTTCCGGTCCCCCAGGGTCAGAGGACCGCCCCCTCTCTTGCCAAACCCTTCAGAGAGCTTAGTCCAGCCGGATGGGATAACCTGTCTATGATTAGAGCTTCAGCAGAGTGTTCCGTCTCCTCAGGAAGGATTAGGGGAGATTTGTTTTACTGCCCATTTGAAGCGGGGCCGGGATTGAAGCTTGTTTTGTAATCACAGGGCTTTTAAGGACCAGACTTCCTGCAGGAGAACAAGCTAATAGAACTCCTCCCCGCAAGGCTTTTGGTCTGCACCCAGCCCCGGGGGGCTTGGGGCCCTCCCCTCAGGCCCAGGCCCAGCTTCTCTTCCTCCAGGAGCAGCTCTGGTCGCCTCGGGTGGAAGGAACCAGCAATCACAGGGACACGGTTGTCGAACCTTCCTCTGCTCCAGGTGCTGCCCTGTGGTCATGCCTTTTAACCCTCAGGGGACACTAGAGGCCGTTCACTGCCATTATTCCTATTTTAAGGGTGAGGACAGTGAGGCACAGAGGGGAGAAGGTCCTGCACAGGGTCACACAGCCACAAGTTGGGGGCTGGGATTTGAACCCAGGATTCTCTCCCACCTCACTCTGCTGTGTTTATCCATTTTCATTTCTGTTCACATTTAATTTTCCCTTGATAGTTACCTGTCTCTACAACTAGATGGGGACTCCATGAACACAAAAATTGTCTAATTTATTTTTATAACCGTCAAGCGTTGGGCTTTGAGTCAGACTTGAAGTTGAGTTTTGATTCCCCCATGTTCTAGCTCTGTGACTTTGGGCAAGTTTCTTAACCTCTCTGAGCCTCAGTAAATGATCAGTTAACGAGAGATAATAAAATGTGCCTTGCCGGATTGTCAGAGAATACAGCAAGAAAATGCCTGTGACATGCTCAGCACATCGTGGGCAAGAGTAATGGAAATGTGTATTGGGGTTAAGGAGCGGCCTGTTTCTGCCGTTGTCAGAGACAAACTCATCGATGCCACATGAAAAAGAAACAAGGAATAAAATCTGTATTTTTGTGCAGGAATCATGGGAGGAAGATGGCGTTTACCCTCTGGGATCCTCAGATTAGTTGGGGGAGACAAAATTGATTCACTCATCCATCCCATTCATTCAGTGTTACTGTGTGTACAGAGGAAATCTCTGTCCTCATGGAGGTAACCATCCAGCAGGGGAATCAGAAAACAGACAAGGAGATAAATACAAATCAGGAAGGGAATTTTAGCTAGTTGATGAATGCAGAAAGAAAGTGGGTTGATGTCAGGCAGTGAGGAAAAGGGGTGCTCTTTCAGCCAGGGTGATCAGGAAGGGCCTCTTTGGGGAGGCGACATTTTAACCAAGATCTAGATGACAAGCAAGAGCCAACCATGAGAAGATCTGGGGGAACAGTGTTCCTGACAGAGGGAACGGCATGTGCGAAAGCCCCAAGGCTGGGATGAGCCTTGAGTAAGTGAGGAACAGCAAGGAGGCCAGCATCGCTGGAGGGAGGGAGTGGCCAAAGAGGTTGTCAGGCAGGTAAGGGGTGAGGGGGTTCAGATTTTATTCCAAGGGCTCTGTGAAAAGAGCTTATGCACAAGACTGAGGTGAGAATCAGCTCATTACCCAGGCCCTGAATGAGGGCACTGTTAGAGCTTTTAAGAACTCAGGGGACAAATTGTGATGTTCTTTCTGTCTGGCAGGGCAGTCAGGGAAGGCTTCCTGAAAGGAGAAGCCCTTTGGTTTCACTCTTGTCACAGTTAGATGTCGTTCATTAATTGCAATCTACCAGAATGGGAGCGCCCAGGTGGAAGAGGCCTCACTGGGTCATCCACCTGTGGGCACAAGTGCAGGATATTAGCGCGAAATAGCTGATGAATAATAATTTGCCAGACGTGGCCACAGACGTCTCCCAGAAGCATCTCAGGCAGTGCAGTCCCAGAGATGAATGTGAAACCCCAGGTTTCTTTCCTTGTGGAGCTCAAGGCCATGGAAGAGACAGGCAAGAAAAATGGGTTTCTTGTACTAAGGGTGAGTGGACATTAGGTCTCAGCTTGGGGGCTTACCTTGGAAGAATGCAAAGACCTGTGTATCCCCTGTGCCCAGCCTGGGACTTGACACACAGTAGGTGAAATGCATGTTAACTGGGTGAATGATACTGGGGGCAGGAAGGAAGAGGGATGAAGACCGACACACGATTTCAACTAGTCCCCCATCCCCTGAATCTCAGGCTCCTCGCCAAAACAGACTGACCTGTTCCCTTTGTCCCCAGCGTACCTCACACTGCTCCAAGTTGCATCTTTCTGGAAGACTGGATCTTGCTGTTCTTTGTCCCCCAGCCCCCAGTAGCTGGCAGATTGCTGGTTTCCCAACCTTACTTCTCACTCAGGGCCCTTGTGTATGCTGATCCCTCTGCCTACAGCACCCTTCCTTGTACCCCACTGGTGGCAGACGGTGCCCTGCTGACCTAGTGCAGTTTGCAGATGTGTTTTCTGTGAGCCACATGGTGCTTTCAGAAAATATTGGATTCATTATCAACATTTAAAAGTTGGGAGATTTCACAGGAAGTGCTGGATTTCCGGCTTCTCTCGAAAAGTTGTAAGATGCTTTAGTTTTCCCATGTGGCCACAGTTGGCCGCACTGACTGGCTGCCGTTTTCAGAAGTTCTGGCTGGTTCAGTAGAGTTTCCATGTGGCCCCTTTTACTCATTTACGAGAGTTTAAGGTTCATGTGTTAGAGTGAATTTTGTATGGTTTTGTACGCTGGATCCCAACTCAAGACTCAATGTGATTAGAAGGTTACCCATTAAATTCAGAAGGCCCCTGAATGAACCACTTGTCAGATGGACCTCGAGGCCCAGAGAGGGACAGAGGCTTGCCCAAATTTGCCCAGCAGGCTGTGAACCTTCCTTGTTCCTCAAAATGATGTAAGACTCAGCTCAGGGCAGAAACAGGTCACAGTTGCTGTCCTCTGGACTGCCTTTCTCTGCTCTAGCAGCTGCTGTGGGGAACTTCCTGTACCCCGCAGCCTGGCCGTAGGGCCGCCAGTCAGTGCCAGAGGTGGCCCCCGTGGGACAGCTGGTGGGCAGCCGGAGGCTGAGTGTCAGCTTCCGAAAGTGGGCACTCCACATCTGTTCACCTCCCTCAGCTGCTGGCAGTTTTCTTTCTGCCTGTTTTTTGGGACTTTGAGAATAGAGCGGGGGTGGACAGGACCCAAAACAATCCCTTCCCCACTCAGGGCTCCCGCTCCATGAAATAGATCTGTTTCTTCTACACCCCCTGGGCCCGCACCCGGGCCCTCTGAATGCCTCGGCACACACCACTACCTACACACAAGGCAGGTCTTTGCTCAGCCAAACACTGGAAAGCTAAAAATAGCCCTGCCCCTCTCTGGCCCTGTAATTGGAGGCGGGACAGCTGGTTTCGATAAGCAGGAGAGCCCCGCGCTCTGGCCAGCTGCCACCCGCCTTCACTGAGTACAGATTGCCCCGCGTTCCCGGCTCACCCCTTTCCTGCTGACTTTTCCGTGGGTTGAGCTCTGCACCGAGCCCGAATGCACCTCCAAGAGCCAGGACCTGGGGTCTGGCTGAGCCTCTGCCCCGCTGGGTAGTCACGTTGGATTTGATTTGCCTGATTTTTTTCTGGGCTTGTGAGCATTTCTTTGTGGGTGAGACCTTCCTCCTCGCCCCAACATGGTCCTTCTTGTTTGATGGTTCATTCCTTCATTTGTTCAAAAAAATAGTTGTTGAGCCCCGCTGTGCTTTGTAGCCTCTACCAGATGCAGGGGGCGTAGAGCTGTGAATTAGACAAAAATCCCTATCAGCATGGAGATGACATTCTGGTTTGGGGAGATGACTGATAAACACACATAAATCTGTAAACAGGTCAACTCCAGTGATAAGTACTAAAAAGGAAGTAAAACCAAAAGATGTGATGGATTGTATGGGGGCAGGGAAAGTGCTTTTGATGGGATGGTCAGGGAAGGCTTCTCTGAGGAGGTGACCTTTGAACTGAGATGTAAAGATGAAAGGGAAATGCTTTGTGAAGAGCTGGGGAGGGGTGTTTTTAGGCAGTGGGAACAGCAAGTGCAAAGGCCCCAAGGCAGGCAAGAGTCTGGCATTTTTTAAAGGGAAAACGGTGGGTGTGTGTGGCTAAAGCAAAATAAGTGAAAGGTACTGGAGATGGGGAGGGGGCAGCTCGTACACGGCCTTGTCATTGTGTGGGCAGGTTTGGATTTTTTCCGAGAGTAACCAGGAAGCCCATTGGGGGGTTTTCAGTGGGAGAATGACATGATTTGATCACCATTAGCTCTTCTGACTCTCCTGTCATCTTTCTGGGTCCTTATTTCTACTGGCTTGTTTGCTTCTTCATTCCTTCTGTCCCTCCATCTATCCAGCTGACCAGTCATCCATCATCCATTCCCCCACCATCTACTCAGTTATCCCTCTGCTTATCATTCACCCATCCATTCCTCCTCCACCCACCTACCCTACAGATCTGTCCAGCCACTTAGTCATTTATCTGTCAGATCATCTGTCATCTACTCACTCTTCATTCATTTATCCACTCATGTGTCTGTTCTCTTTCCCTCCCATTCATCCATCCATCCACCCATTCACCCATCCAGTGAGCCTGAGGTGGGGCCCAGAGTCTGCTCACACCCACTTCTCTGCCATTTGTCAGGGGGGAAAAGCATCAGGCCTTAGCATGACCCCCAGGCCTGTAGGGTCCTAAGTCTGCTTCCCAGTTCTGACTATCATTCCTGGGAGTGGTGGTGGTGGTGGGGCGGTCAGGCCAGTTTAGTGCTGGTCCCTGTGGTCCCTGGACTGGGGCGGTCCTCTCAACCACATCTTCTGTTCCTGGCAGTGAGTTTGTTGCCTGGCTCCTGGAAATTGGCGAAATTAGCAAGACAGAAGAAGGCGTGAACCTGGGCCAGGCCTTGTTGGAGAACGGCATTATCCACCATGGTGAGTGGGGGCTGGGTCCCAGTGGGTAGGACCAGGTCAAACCTCGACAGCACTGTGCTTCCGCTGACTCAGAGGCTGTATCTGCACTTCTTTGCAGCTGCCTGTTCCTGGGCACAGTGTGGTCCCAGGAGCGTGGCTGCCCTTATAAAACTGCTCTCGGGGCTGGGAGGCCCAGCTCTCACCTAGGGCACCAGCAAAGCAGGGCCACCTCAAAAAGTTAGGGGCAGGGGAATAGAATTTTCTATCTGTCCTTTCAAAAAAAGGCAAGAACCATTTAAGTTTTAGCCATTCAACAGATATTTATTGAGTGCTTTTCATGTGTTCACAGCAGTGAACGGGACAGATGGAAACTCTGGTCCTCATGGGGCTGACGTTCTAGTTGGAGGGGGAAGGTAACAAACAGAATGAGTAAAATATACGTATTCAGGTGGCGGTAAGTGCTGGGAGGGAGAGAAAGCAGGGCAGGTGTTCGGTTTTGAGTGGGGGAGTTGGGAAGGTGAGAAGGTGATGTGGAACCAAGTCCTGGGGGAGGGAGGGAGCCAGGTAGGCACTGGGGTTCCAGGCAGAGGGAACAGCCAGTGCGAAGTCCCCAGGACAGGAGTGTAAGCTTTGTTCAGGGAACAGCTAGTGTTAGGAGGTCAGAGGGCACGGGCCAGTTGGGAGTCTTCAGGGGATGAGGTTCAGGACCTTATAGGGAATTGTAGGGTCTGTGGCTTTTACTCTGAGTGCAGTAGAAAACCAATGCTGTGTTTGACTTAGTCCTACTTGGACTTAGATTTTAGCAGGATCCTTTTGGCCATTGTGTGGAGTGGACTGTTGTGCCCAGGCAGCAGTGGGCGTCCAGCAGGGAGACAGCTGTGATAGTCCAGGTGGGAGATGAGGGTAGCTTGGACCAGGGTGGGAGTATAGACTCTGATTCTTAACGTTCTGAAGGAAGAGCCTACAGGTTTGCTAATGGATCCAAAGCAGAGAGTGAGAGAGAGAAGCACCAGGGGCGACTCAGGGCCGTTGTGTAGAGATGGTTCTAGGTCCAGGGAGAGGCTGGGCAGATGGGTCCCAGCTCAGGCTGGAGTGAGGCATTTCTGGGCCTCTTGCAAGACTGGCAGATGCCCCTACTCCAAGCCACAGGTCTCAGCTGGGCCCCACACTTAGCAGGAGGCCCTAGTTTCTGCATTGGAATGTAGGGAAGGGGTTCAGTACAATTGCGCTAGACACAGAGCCTGGCCAAAGGTTGGGTGACGATGGTGGGTGTGGGTCAGGAGGGCCGAGGGGAGTGTGCCCAGCCTCACCGGCCCTGGGTCCCTCTAGTCTCTGACAAGCACCAGTTCAAGAACGAGCAGGTGATGTACCGCTTCCGCTATGATGATGGCACCTACAAGGCCCGGAGTGAGCTGGAGGACATCATGTCCAAGGTAGGGTCCCGCCCCCCACCATGGCCCTGCCCCACGGCCCCGCCCCCACAGCCCCACCTCCACTGCCTGCATTGGTCCCCTCTCCTTCCTTCACCCTCTTCCTCTGTTCTGGGAGCCATCTCTCCCAGCGGCCTGGATTTGGAGGCCCCTGAAGAATGTGGTCAGATCCTAGACTCCCTCTTTTTCTCTTTCAGGGTGTGAGGCTTTACTGCCGTCTTCACAGCCTCTACACTCCCGTGATCAAGTAAGTCACTCCCTCCAAGCTCCAGTTCACCTCTGCCTCTTCTGAGCTGTGTGGCCTTGGGCCAGTAACTTAACCTCTCTGAGCCTCAGTCTCCTTCTCTATCAAATGGGGCTAATAACCGCATCTACCCTACAGGTTTGTCATTAGGGTCAAGTGAGTTAATTTGTGGGAAACAGTGCAGTATGGTGGTGAAGGGTGTTAGTTTTGGAGCCAGACTGGCTGAGTTTGGATCTCAGCCTGCTAGTTAGTTACCAGCTATGTGATCTTAGGCAGTTACTTAACCAAGTTGGTGCTAATGCCTCAACTTTGTCTTCTTTAGAATGAGAATAATAATAGGATCTACCTCAGGGCCTTTGCACTTGCCGTTCTGCTGCCTGGGATATTCTTCCCCCATATATCTGCATATTTGCTCCCTTACTTCCTCCAAATGTCTCCAAATCAGAGGGGCCTTCCCTGGGCACCTTTCTAAAATATCACCATCTGGAACGCACTACCCTCTTTATTTCACTTGGATTTTCTTCTTGAAGCTTGTCAGTGACTGACACACTGAATGTTTATTTCTTTGTCTGTGTACCATCTGTCTTCCCCACTGAATTTTACACTCACCCAAGGCAGGGATTTTGCTCACTGCTGTGTCCCCAGACCCTTGGCAGCACCCAGAGTGGTGCTGTCCTTTGGAACTTCCTGCACTGATAGAAATGCTCTGTCCTTGTGCCATCCAATAGAGCAGCCACTACTCACATGTGGCTTTCAAACTCTTGGGACTGAAAAACGTGATCTTAAGTCTGATTTAACGTTGATTGAAAAGAAGCCAAGTATCGGCGAACTCACTAGATGTTTGCTGAGTGATCATTGAAAAGTAATTAATGCTTTTTGCCTCTGTTTCTGCATCTGTGAAATGAGCCTAAGAATAGCTCACCCCTCGTGGGTGGTCATGAGGATTAAATTTGAATGGCGCCTGGCACATAGTGAGGGCTGTGTTGATGCTGGTGGTTGGAGGTTCACTTTCCCGCTGAAGCTTATGGTTGTGGACGAAGGAACAGGGAGGGTGATCTGATCCTTACCAGCTGCAGATGCCTCTGCCTCCTGTCCTGACAGCTCTTACCACATCCCAGGAGCAGAGAGGAAGGGTCTTTTCCCTGCATTCGCTGGCCTCCTTGGTGCCCAGGGTGCCCCTTTCATCTCCAGACCTGCCTCCTTGGCTCCTCCCCTGCTGCCTTTGTGCAAGCCCAGAAGTCAGGCAGGGCCGCCTCGTCCAGCCTTGGTCCCTGCAGAAGAGGCCCCTCCATCAGCCCCCAGAGGAGGAAGTGGCCGGGCCAGCAGCCGGCCCCCACTTACCGCACACGTGATGTGCTGGGCTCCCCAGTTCCTGAAAACCTGAGAACACCCCAGCTGGCCTTTATCAGTCCCGCGGGGGGCTGGCTGCATAAGCTCGTTTTTGTCAGCTTCAGAGGCTGAGAGATTGTTGCAGTTTGGCCACAAGGTCTGCACAGCCCTCCGCACCAAGCCTGGGTGGGAATTAGATGCTACTTTAGGTCAGAGCTGTACCTCGGCAAAGAAGCAGGGCCGTCACAGACCCCTGCCGCCTGCCTGGCCCCGACTGCCCGCACCAGCCCACGGAGAGGGCTTTCCACGTCAGTATAGATTTGTTACCTTTAAACACACGAATGTCAACAACAAAACAAAAAGGAAAGAACTGGGAGTTTTTCTCACCACGCAGACTAAATCGGGTTTCCGCAGGCTCGGCGTTCTTGACTTTTGGGGCTGGATAATTCTTTGTTTGGGGGCTGTTCTGGGAAGTTTGGAGTGTTTAGCAGCATCCTGCTAGATGCTGGTGGTGGTACCTCCGGCCCCTCAACAGCCGGTCATGACAGCCAAACATGTCTCTAGACACAGCCCAGTGTTCCGTGCGGGGCAGAGCCGGCCCTGCTTGAGGGCCCCAGCAGGAGAGTTTCCAGAGTCTGAGAGCCCCCTGCTCCTGTCCCCACATGATGTTGGTGAGAGTCAGGTCCTGCCCGAGGTGACACTGTGAATGAGGAGTGGGGCTCCCTGCCTGGGGCTCTCCCCGCCCCCTGCCTCAGACCCATGGCTGGGGACCCTAGAAATTTGGAGCATTCTGAGCAGGGAAATTGGGATGTTTCCACCTCTTTTCTCTCTGGTCTGCTCAGGGCGTGCTTCCTCTCCCCAGGGACCGCGATTACCACCTGAAGACGTACAAGTCGGTGCTGCCTGGGAGCAAGCTGGTGGACTGGCTGTTGGCTCAGGTGAGAAAACCCTCGGGTCCCGTGCGACCAGCCATCCTGCCCAGGACTGAGAGACTAACCAGCATGCGGGCCTTTGAGGTCTAAACAATTTTTTTAAAATTATTTTTTAGTTGTGGTAAAATATACATAGTGTAACATTTACCATCTTAACCATTTTTAAGTGTATGGTTCAGTAGCCTTAAGTCCATTCTTGATATCACACAGCCATCACCACTGTCCACTTCCAGAGCTCTTTCCATCTTGCAGAACTGAAACTCTGTCCTCATTAAACAGTAACTTCCCATCTCCCCACCCCCCACCTCTGGCCCCTGGCAACCACCCTTCCACTCTCTCTGTATGAATCTGACTGCTCTAGGTCCCCTGTGCACGTGGCCTCGTACGGCATGTGTACTTCTGTGTCTGGCTTATTTTGCTCAGCATCATGTCTTCATGGCTCATCCATGTTGCAGCCTGTGTCAGAATTTCCTTCCTCTTAAAGGGTGAATAATATTGTGTGGATAGAGCACATTTTATTTATCCATCAGTCAAGGGACCCTTGGGTTTCTGCCACTTTGAGACTTTCAGTTTTTAAAACCGGGATGGTCTTGGACAAACTGGGACAAGTTGGTCTCATCCTGGCACCAAACTGGAGCCTCCATGTGGAGTTTGCCAAGTTATTCCCTTCACCTAGGTTCCTGGTGAGCAGGGCCTGGGCAGAGTCTTAGAAAATCTAAGTGTCAATTTTGCTGCAACTTCCCAAAGGTGATTGTTCCATTGAGGTGTTGTGGACTCTCTTATCTGTCTGCCTCTTGTCCTTTATGGCTCTGTTCAGAGGGTGCTTACTCTGGGCCCAGCCCTACCTGGGCTTTGTGCATTATCTCACTGAGTCTTTCAACCCATTTACAGATGGAAATGGGGGTCCAGAGAGGCCAGGCTAAGTGCCTGGGCCAAGGGCACACAGCCTTGCAGCAGCAGAGCTGGGACTCAGATGGGCCCATCTTACCCACTTGTGCCTCAGTTCCGCAAACTTTTCAGGGAGCCTGCGAGAACGCTCCTTTGTAGTCTGTAAGAAAAAGGTATTGGCTTCAAAGACAAGGCGACGCCTGTGAAATCAAGTGGATAAATACTTAAACATTTACAGAGTGCAGCTCTATGGCAGCCTCATTATATTGAGTTTAGCATTCATAAAAACTTCATTCCACTCAAAAACAATTACTGCGTGGATTTTCCCACGTCAAATAAGTTTCTGATGATTGTCTAGAATTCGTGGCCAAGCAGTGTAAAGGAAATGCTTCTTGGTGCCAAATAACTTCCAAAGCAAGTTCAGAAAAATCCTTGAAAAAAAGAATTGTAAGCCAAAAACCAACGTAAGATGTGGCTGCATTTTAATATGTGTGCTATGATGTGGGGCCCTAAGGTGTGGGAGGTCTTGAAATGACCTGGATTTGGATTCAGATTTGCACGGCTGGGAAGTGCAGAGCTGCTAACTGTTGTGCTACGCACGCCTCCCATTGTACTGTACATCTTTCCTTGGGATCCCCTGAAACTGGCCCAGAGCATCATAGCCCAGCAGACCTGGGTTCGAATCTCAGCACCACCACTTCCTAGCTGAGTGAGCTTGGACAAGCTGCTTAACCTCTCTGTGCCTCAGTTTCTACACCAGTAAAATGAAGCTAAAAACAGTAACTTCCCTTTAGATTATTTTGAGGATCCAATGAGTTAATCATCTAAAGTGCTTAGAATGGTTCCTGGCACTGAATAATTGCTCAGTAAATGGAACTATTATTATATTAATTCCTCATCTCCTTCACAAAGGACTCAAGGTGCCTTAGAATTACGTGCAGTATGGAAGGCTGAAGAAATTGCGGAGGGCTTTGGGGGTGCAGAAACAGTAAGACCAGGAAACAAACATCGGGGGGAGGGTGAGAGGTGATCTGCTTGGGGTCTGAGAGTGCGCTGTGACAAGTGAGGGGCGACACCTGGCGTGTTCTTTTGTGATTCAGGTTCCTTGTTCAGAACCCAGACATGCCGGGTGCAGGGCTCTCTGAGCTGCTGCTGCTCCCCGCCTCGGGCCCTTCTGTGGCCTCGTGGTCCCCGAGCTCTGTGGGTGCCGTCGTCTGCCTGTTGGTTTCAAAGCACATGTGGACTTTGCCTTCAGTGGCGAATCCCAGGCATGAGCTGGGAGTGGAGTGGGTTACTGAGCTGGCAAGAAGTCAGTGGATCCGGGAAGTATTTGGAGATGGAACGCACAGGACACATCGCTGAGGGGTGGGGTGGGAATCAAAGCTGTGTCCTGGGGTTTTGGTACAGTGGGTGGCTGGAAGTGCTGTTCACAGCGATGGGAAGACGGGGGAGGAAACACCGGTGTGCGTGGGGAAATGAAGCGTTCTCCTTGGGCGTTCGAGGGTGCTGCCTTTGGGGTGCCCACTGGACTCCCCAGTGGAGGTGGAGGAGGTGGGGGGAGGGGCAGGCGTTGCCCCCCCCCATGCTTATTTAAAGTGAGGTATTTAAAGTGAGGGGGTAGAAGAAAGTGTAGGGAAAGTCGGCTCATTAGCATTAGCTCCCTTTTTCCCTTTGAACACCTGCTGTGCATCAGGCAGTGTTATAGGTTCTGAGGACGCAGCAGTGAACAGATACAGCTCCCGCCCTCATGGATCTTAGGCTCTGATGAAGGGTAGGGCAGACATCCAGCGAACAAGGAAAAGAAGTGAGATACAGAATGTGCTAGCTGGTGCTCAGTGCCAGAGTGCCGGTGGGGCTGGAGCGTGCGGGAGCTCCAGCGGGTTGACCTTTCAAGTGGCTGGGGAGGTCCAGTTTCCACAGGGGGTCTGAGAAGGTCTTGCTGAGCAGGGACTGTTTATAGAGGCTGGAGATGGGGAGCGAGCCAGGGGGACGTCTGGGGGTGTCTCTGAGGCAACAGCAACTTGGAGGCTCTGAGTCAGGTGAGCTTGGTGTGTCTGCGGGCAGGGAGGAGGCCAGTGTGGCTGGAGTGGCCTGAGCCAGGTGGCAGGTGATAGGAAGCCATTGGGCAGCCAGTCACGAAGGGCCTGTGGGCTCTTGGGAGGACTCGGGTCATGGCCAGGTTCTGAGCATAGAAGGGATGGCACCTGTCTTTGGTGGGATGAGGTCCTTCGGGCTGTAGGGGGAGTGAGGCTGGCAGCTGGGAGACCAGCTCAGAGGCAACTTCAGAACTGCAGGCAAGTAGCTGAGAGATGGCTGAGAGGAAAGCGGGAAGAGTGGTCAGATTTTGGATATTTTGAAGGTAGACCTAACGAGCCTGCTGTTGGATAGATGGGGTAAGGGAGGTGAGAAACATGAGTCTAGTCGACTCCAAGGTCCTTGGCTGAGCTGGAGAGGCTCAGGTCTGCGCCCTGGAGTACCTGTCAGGGAGAAGTGCCAGCTAGAGCAACCTCTTCTGTTGATTTCTCTTTGGTGATTGGTGCTGGGCATGGCGGGAGCCTACTTGTGGCCACTGCAGTCGGAGAAGCTGTGGTGCTGGCTGAAGACCCCCTACAGTAGCCTGAGTCATTGTCAGTGGTCCTAAGGACATACCCCCAACACCCCAGCATCTTGTTGCAAGTAGAGGTGGAGGGGAGGATGGTGGAGTGAAGTTTGCCACTGACCACAGAATGTGTCTGTCCACTTCAGCAGACCTCCTGTGGCTTGGCCTGGGCTGGGGACACAGGGAAGCTAATTGGAGCTGACACAGGATAGCTTCCATGAGATTGACCAAAAAACAGCTGTCATCTGGCTCTGGGTCAGAGAAAGTGGGGAGGATGGGGTGCATGTGGGTCTCTCTGTGGGGGAGAGGTTGGTGATGGGGATATGACCTTGAAGACTGGTTACAACAAGCCTAGATTTCAAGAGTCATCCTTACCTTGTACCTTAGCCGGAAAGTCAAGAAGAAAACATGTAATTGTGTACTTCAGGAGGATTATTTTGCTTTGAACACATCTTCATTTTTAACTTCTAGGTCATTCTGCTCCTTGAAATAAAATGTTGATTGAAACCCACTAGATCAGCTAGAAATGCTTTTGGCTACACCTAATAGGAAACCTGACTTATACAGGAAAGACATTTTTCTCTTATGCAGTAAGAAAACTAAATTACACAGTAAAGTAAATTATACATTTTTTGCTCACATAACTAGGCGTCCACAGTTCACAGCTATAGAGCTCATTCGATGCCATTTCCACCCAGGCTCTTTTCAGCTTTCTTTTCTGTCATCTTCTTGCCAGTTGCCTCACAGTTGTAAGATGGCTGCCACAGCTCCAGGCATCACACCTATGTAGACCTATAGCCAAAGGCAGGCAGCAGGGACAGTTGGAGAGAGCTTTTTCATTCTGTTTCTTGGTAGAGGAAACTTCCCCAGTCCCCACCCTTCCCCAGTGATCTTACCCTTAGGTCTCATGGCCAGATGGGTCCCACATGTACCCCTAAACCACTCCCTGTGGAAGAAAACAGGGATTACTGAGAGTTGCTTAGAATTCCCCAGAATTCATTGCCTGAGGCTGGGGAAGGGACTCCCTCCTGCTTGTAACTCAGATGAATCAGGGCTCTTTTATCTCTGAGGGCAGGGAAGCAGCGTGTTGGTCCTTTGATTGACAAGCTAGGTACTGGGTCACTTGTGATCGTCTGTGTACATTCTCTCGTTTAATCTGCAGAATAACCTGAGGAAAACACAGTTATTACCCCCAGCTTATTAACGGGGAAGCTTATGTCAGGTTATGTCACCTGCCTCAGGACACACAGGAACGGGGTGCACCTCTAAGACTGTGTGTGGGCGGGGCTTTCACGATGCCTTGGTAGGCAGTGGTAATAGTAATAGTAATAATAGCCTTCTGTATTAATTACAGTCTGTACTGTGGAGTCTGAGCAGGGAGCACCACTGAGAGGTGGCAGAGGCCTTGGAAAATCAAGGGCAAATCTGGGGATAAAAAAATACAAATGAGGAAATGAAGCTCAGAGATGTTAAGGAATTGCCTCCCATCACAGCTGGGCGGAGCAGGAGTTCGAACCTGGGGAAGCCAGCTCCAGAATCTGCTCTCTTCACTTCTCTGCTCCTTGAGTTTTGGTCTCTGCTGCCAGGGCTCCAGGATGCCCCAGGCTGTGTCCATCAAAAGGAGGGCAGGAGGTCAGGGGCTTAGGGCAGAGGAGAGCTGAGACAGGTCAGATCTGCTGCCTCCTGTGCTGGCTCTGCAGAAATGTGCCCAAGGTGCCCGCCACACTCACCCCACGGTCTGGTAGATGGCAATGCTGATGGTGGCAGGGTTTTCAGCATGGGGAGTGGTGTGGGAGCAGGCAAAGGGCCAGGCTGGCAGCTCAAGGCACCAGCAGAGGAAACAAAGGATAAGCAGGGACAGGATGGGAGCCCTGGCTGTAACCCTGGGCAACTAACCTCCCCTCTTGGAACCTCAGTTTCCCTATTTGTAACGTGGGGGAAGGTCCAGCTCTGAAAGGATTCCATTCTCATGGTGTAACCTTGGGCAAGTGCCAAGTCTCTGTGTCTCCGTTTCTTCATCTGTCAAATGGGGTTAATAAGAGTGATTGCCCCTGGGTTGACCATCAGGACAGTTAGGGCAAGGCCACTCTGAGGAGCTGAAAAGCCAGGACAGGGCATTCCAGGGGGAGGAAGGAGTGAGTGCAAAGGCCCTGAGGTGGGGCCGTGTGTAGTGTGTGGAAGGAGCAGCAAGGAGGCTGGCGTGGCTGGAGCCCCTAGCAAGGGGGGCTGGTAGATGGGTGGAGAGGGGGAGGTGTGGTGGTGGAGTTGACTGCACAGGGCTGTGTGGCCCATGCCTTCTTCCTGGAGGGGAGAAACGTGGACTTGTGGCTTTCGGTTTCCCCACAGCTGGTGGGATGTGGGGTGGGGGCTTACTTTTCAGGTGGTGGGCGCATCCGGGGTTGGTGTATTTCACTCTTCACCAGAGAATCACTCAGGTCCTCACTTTATGATCCTCCCTGTGGGTCCCCCCGGGGCCCTTTGGGGAGAAGAGAGGTGAAGACAGGCTGGGAGTCCAGACTGTGAGGGCCTCAGAAAGCCAGGTGGGCTCCAGATGCCCGCCTGGCCCCCCAGGCTGCTGAGCTGGGCCTGCCCTCCTCCTGGGCCCCAGCTGTGCCTCCCCGCTGCTGGCCCCTCACAGCTTGGGGGCTGCTGCTGCTCTGGAAGCGGCTTCTTGACAGGATGGCTGCCTCCCCTGGCGGGGCTCGGAGCATGGCCGGCCCTCCAGCCACTGG